ACCCCATCGTGGGCTCCCAAAGCCCCCACGGACTTTCACAGATAGCTTTTAGCACAGCTGCAGATGTTGGTTTATTGGATGACTGGCTGATGTGAGGAACGTCTGTTCTCCCACCAGACCCTAAGCTGCAGGAGAGCAGGACAGCGTATTTCTTCCCTTCCCATCGTACCTCAGCATCTAGCACAGTGAATCCATGGAATGTCCTGAAATGAGTGACTTCTTTTCACTCCTTCACACACAGCCCCTCCCTGTTCTCAGAGGGCTTAGGGTCTAAAAGGCTCATATGTCACATACTATCTCATTTAACCCTCATCCCAACCCTGGATCCCTTGTTGTTGTTCCCACTTTACGGATGAGAAAATGAGCTTCTGAGAGGTGAAATGGCTAACTCAAATGCACTGTAAGTGGCTTTGAACTCAGAAACATCTGGCCCCAGGTCCTCAGCCCTGCCCACTATTCTACCCTGCTTTCCAACCCAAGGGGCCTCTGGATTGGCCCTTGCAAACCTTCTCCTGTTCCCCTAACTGACTACACTCAGGACTCATAGTATTCATTCATTCAGTCACTCATTGAACCAAGCACCCGACTCAGGTATTGGTTGTGCCAGGCCCTGCACAGGTTGCCAAGGAATCAGACAGACCAGAGTTCAAGTACTCCTTCAAGAGAGCAGAGGTTTTTCTCCAGCCCAGCCTGCTCCTGCCCCATTGCCACTGTGATTTTTCCAGCAGAAGCTAAGCCCTAGGCAGCTGTGCTTTCCTCGGCCTTCCCTTAGTGGGGAAGGACTAAGTGCAGCTCCCATCACTCCCTCTCCCCCAAGGACAATAGCCTCAAACACTCAGGCTGAACAACATGTAGGATCACAGTCCTTAGGGCTCCCTCCTTCTCTGAGGATTCTAGAACAAGAAAGGGCACTTAGAAGGAGGGATTACCACACCCTCCTTCCAGGTAATGCTGTGACATCCGTTACCTGAGGCAGCTCTGGGGAAAGTTCTGGACTTGAAGTTACAAGACTAAGGCTCTAACTCTGGATCTGGTGCTGGCTGTGCTACTAGGACAGGTCACCTTGCCTCTCTCTAAGCCACAGATTCCTCATTTTGTCTGTAAAATGAATGTGACAATGAGGATGACTTCAGTGCTCATCTTGCAAGGTTATGGGTGAGGATTAAGTTGCTCAGACCCAGAGATACAATTATCACATAGATGGCTGACCAGGGAAATGTCTTCACCAGGTGGGACCTAGTGGAGCTTGCTATGCTGTTAGCACACACTTGGCAATGTGATTTCAGGAAGGTGGGCTGTGAATGCAGCTAACCCAGAGCCCAGGGCCTCCCCACCATGGACCCACAGAATTGGGAGGCCCCTTTCTCAGTAGTAGTGAGGAAGCTGTGCTCGTCAGCCCACCACCAGAAGGCACTGGGGAAAAGGCTGGAGATGGGACTGGACACACTGACACTAGGCTTTTCCCAGACTTGAGCACCGGGAGCTCCCCTAGAGAGACTATGTCGTAGGAACCTGGAAATGTCAGAGTCATGGCTGTTCTCGGGATACCTCAGGATTAGCACCTACCTCATGCTCCTTTCTTTAATCAGCACTGGATTCTGTAGGATCTAAAAAATCCTTCCTCCTCATTACATACACAGTTTCCTGGTCCAGGCACCAGGCCAGCTGCATTACACATGCTCTCTCACTGACACCTCCCAGCAGGCCATTGAAGAAGGTTCTATTATCACCTCATTCTACAGATGAAGAAACTGAGGTTCAAAGAGGCTAAGTGATTTCCCCAAGTCACAGAGCTGGAGACTCAAAGCCTGCAAAGTGGAGGAATCACTAACAAAAACACAAAGCAAAGATCAATCCTGCTTATGTTTGGGGGAATTTTCCCACAGTAGCTGGTGATGAGTCATTAAAAGCACTGGAAATTCTTGTACCCTCCACTTTTTCTAGGGAAGCAAAAATCGCCCAGAGAACATCAATGCTGAAGCCCCCTGATACCCACACACACCTCGTCTAATGCTCCTACACACCACATTCTGCCCTGCAGAGACATTATACTCTGGGATTCAATAGAGAAGACTGGGTCTCTATTCTTCAGACAGGAAAACTGAGGCAGATGAGAGGTGAGGTGAGGGGAATGGCGTCTGGGCATCAGTGATCAGGCCAAGACCACAGTTCACATCTCCAACACGTGAGTCTATGATCTGCTCTCTGCCCTGCCAGCTGGCAACACAGCCCAAAGAGGTGAAGGCCATGGCCTCAGTCAACCAGCATGCAGGACCCATTTCCAACTAACAGTAAACACCCGGGCATCTTTGTTGTTTAAGGATGCAAGTTTCCTCTCAACCCTTATTGCCCATGTCTGAGCTCAGGGAGCTGTGTCAGGAGGGTTACTTCTGGGACAAGCCTGTGATGTTTTAGGCTCTCTGAGAAGATTCCCACACTGTCAACAAATACCAAGGAGAGGACCTCAAACTCCACCCCAGCCCGAGCAAACCACTGCTGCCTTTGGCAGAGAAAAGACTGTTCAAGGTGAGAATGAGAAAATGGGAGACGGCATTTGTGAGGAAGTTATGAGGCCTCTCTGAATCATATGCAGAGTTCCGGACCAGATGGCCACTGGGGAAGGGAGCAGAGAACTGATGGCAGCACACGGCCATTGCCCACCGCACTGCATCCAGGAGCCCTGGACTGGCAAACACACACGGAGCCGCACACAGAAAGATGCCCATAGCCACTCTGGATGCGCCTCTCCCCCTGTGTTTTCAGAGTTTGACAAGAAACAACTCAGTTACATTGTCACAAATTTATACAGAGAGAATCACAAACTTGACAGTTTGGGACAAGCACAAACCAATACAGGGACCCCAATAGATGATCACCAAAGGTGACTTGGTAAGTGCCCTCACCGCATGACCCAGACACACAGCACTCTCCTTTCCGCCCTACCCACCGCACAGCGCCCACCCACAGCTGTCTCAACAAAGGCCCACAGCAGGGTAGAGCATCCCCGCCCACCCCTATGGGTATATTTCAAACGTCCAAACATACACTCGTACTCTCACAATCGCCCACTCCAAAATTGTGACAAGCACACAAACTGCTGCCAAACTGTCCCATAAAGAAGCAAGGTAATGCCAACAGACAATCAAACGTTATTTAGCTAAGCAAGCAAGGACGAACACACATACGCTCACGCAGGAGAATACATGTTCCTGCGTCCCCCTGTCAATAGACGTAGCCTCCCCGTGGGCCCTGTGCGCCCCCTGCAGGAAGTGCGGAAGTCCGGGGAGTCGGGGGTTCCGGCTCAGGGTTCCAAACCGGCGGATCCCACCCTCACTCCAGGGCCCAGATCCGCAGCGCCGGCCCGCAGCGGACTCACCGGACGATGCCGAACATGACAAGCACGTTGCCCAGCAGCCCCACGGCGCACACGGCCGAGTAGAGCGCGGTGATGGCAATGGCCAGGGCGAGGGACGAGGCGCTCCGTGCGCCCGGCGGCCCCGACGCATTGGCCCCCGCGCCGGGGAGGACGCTAGGGTAGGCGTCCGAGGCGTTGGAGAGGAGCGGGGGCTGCAGCTCAGCGCCGGCTGAGGGGGCCGGCTCCATGGCTGCCGGCGGCCAGCGCCGCGTCCCTCTCCACCGTGCGCCCTGGGCGCGGGCACCTGGCGCGAGGGGCGTGCGAAGGGCCGAAGCTACAGCCCCGACGCCGCCGGCTGCAGCGCCCGGCCGCCCAGGCTTCCTCTGCGCCTCCTCAGACTGCTCAGCCGCCCGCACCCGCCCAGCCCCCGGCGTCCGCCCTCTCTCCTCGCCCCGAGCGCTGTGAGCCTGGAGGCGCTGCGGGCTCGTCGGACGCGCCCGCCGCGCGCACCACGTGGCTCGGAGGCGGCCGCCAGTCTGCACCCGCGACCGGGGGCGGGCGCTGCACCACCGGCTGGGAGCTGGGCCCGGAGGCCTCTTGCCCTCTCCTGGGGATGCTCCGCTGGGTCCAGAGCGCCCCGACCCCAGCATGGACTCATCTCCTACCCCATGCCACTTTGGAGTCAGAAGGACCTGACTCCTGGTTGTGCCCAGGACCTGGATGTGAATGTCACCTTCCGCCCCTGCACTAAGGAATAGAGAGACCTTGACCAAGTTGCCTAACCTGTCAACTTCATTCTCCCTGTTTGTAAGATGAGGAAAATCGCATCACCCGTTCAGAGGGTTGTTGGGGAGATTAAATAAAATGATGGGAGTAAAAAACTAGCTCGGGGAGCAGCACAGAGTAAGGGTGTGTTCCATGAATAACCATTATTATCCTTGCTTTTCCTGTACCCTATTTATTTGCTCAATTAGTATTGTGAGGGTGCCTAATATAAAAGCCAAGTACGACTGGGGACCAGCCTGTACGCAAAACCAGGTGCAGCCCCTGCTTCCTGAGATTCACAAACCAATAGGGGAGACACGTCAATCCTAAAGTCACACTAATGAGGATATAGTTACAAACTGAGCAACTGGCAGGGTTTACAAAACCCAGGGCAGGACAGCTTCCCTAAGGAAATGGTAAGGCGTGAAGCTCGGGATGAATTAATTTAGGGAAGAAACAAAAGAAGAACATTCTAGACCAATAAACCAGAGGGATTGGAAAAGAAGCCGGGGAGAGGAGAGAAGACAGAAAGGAAGGAGGCGTGGGGAGAGAATGAGATGAGGCGGTGAGCAGTCTTGAAGACAGTAAGGATCACTCTGGCTGCTTTGGGAACAGATGTAAGAGGCTGTTACAGAAGAATGGCTAACTCATCCTTCCCACACCTCTTCTCCAGTCCTGACTAGCACAGATCGAGAGCCATCCTCCTCCTTGTGGTGCCCAGTCCTTCCAGAATATTCTACCTAGCATTACTTTGCTCCAGGCACAGAGAAATGCACTTTACCTATTCGTCAACACTTTAGAGTGTTATTATTGCTCACATTTTGTAGATGAGAAGACTGAGGCTAGGTATTAAATTATCCTATAAAGGCCAGGTGCAATGACTCATATCTGTAATCCTAGCACTCTGGAAAGCCCAGGCAGGTGGATCGCTTGAGCTCAGGAGTTCAAGACCAGCCTGAGGGGACAGTACCTGTGGCTCAGTGAGTAAGGCGCTGGCCCCATATACCCAGGGTGGCGAGTTGGAACCTGGCTCCAGCCAAACTGCAACAAAAAATAGCTGGGCGTTGTGGCAGGCACCTGTAGTCCCAGCTACTCGGGAGGCTGAGGCAAGAGAATCACCTAAGCCCAAGGTTGCTGTGAGCTGTGACAGCACAGCACTCTACTGAGGGCTACAAAGTGAGACTCTTGTCTCTAAAAAAAAGAAAAAAGACCAGCCTGAGCAAGAGTGAGACCTGTCTCTACTAAAAATAGAAAAACTAGCCAGGCAGTGGGCGCCTGTAGTCCCAGCTACAACTACATGGCACTCTACCCAGGGTGACAGAGTGAGACTCTGTCTCAAAAAAATAAATAAATAAATAATAATAATAATAAACAAAAATAAATTATCCTATATGGTAATTGTTTCTGGCCAAGATTATATTTTTGGAGAAACCAGGCCTGTTTGGTGCCTGCACCCAGAAGAGGGCTGGGATCACAGTGGGAGCTCAAGAAATGCTATTTGTTTGTTTGTTTGATTTTGGTTTTTGTTTCTTTGCGACAGAGTCTGGCTCTGCTGCCCTGGCTAGAGTACAGAGGAATCCTTATAGCACACTGCAACCTCAAACTCCTAGGTTCAATCCTCCTGCCCCATCCTCCCGAGTAGCTGGGACTATAGGTGTGTGCCACCACTCTCAGATGATTTTTCCTATTTTTGGTAGAGATGGAGTCTCACTGTATTTCTCAGTCTAGTCTCCAACTTCTGGCCTCAAGCAGTCCTCCTATGTCAACTTCCCAAAGTTCTAGGAGCCACCGTGCTTGGCCCGAAATGCTATTTGGATGTCAGAAATTACCATTATGGGCTCGGCGCCTGTGGCTCAAGCGGCTAAGGCGCCAGCCACATACACCTAAGGTGGCAAGTTCAAATCCACCCCGGGCCGCCAAACAACAATAATGGCTGCAACCAAAAAATAGCCGGGCGTTGTGGCAGGCGCCTGTGGTCCCAGCTACTTGGGAGGCTGAG